CTAAGTAGTTGTTAGGAGAACTATTATAAATTGACAGTAGTTCTTGCCAGTGTGGCTCAATTGGTTGAGCATATTCCTGTGCACCAAGAGGTCACTAGTTCGATTCCTTGTCAGGGTATTTACCAAAGTTGTGGGCTCAATCCATGTGCAGAAGGAGGCAGCCGATTGGTGTTTCTCTCTCTCTCTCTCTCTAAAAATCAATAAAATCATATTTTAAAAAAAGAAATTGACTGCAGTGAAAAAGGACAATGTCTAAATATGGTTTTACGTTTAATGAAATGTTTGTACAATTATGTTGTAATTCCTTTAAGAAATTGTGAGACAAAAAGTAGCCCCAAGTTTCATATGGGCAACCAGAGACTCACAGAGATTTGTAACTCACCCTTGAGCACGGAATCAGCAAGTGTGTATGTGGGGGAAGGTGCAGGGGTGGGGAATGGCAGTTGGTGGTGGTGGTGTGTCATCAGGCCGGGAACTCAAATCCAGTCCATAATACTCCACAATTTGAACAACTATAACATGGAAATCAAAACATTCCTACCACTTTATCTAATGTAGTCAAGCAGATCTTTGTAATCTTTTCCAAAACTGGCACTAGCATAATGTTGCCAAGTATTCCCTGATCTAAAGGGGCCAAAAGTCTCAAACTGGCCACACTGTGCCTTTTTCTCATCTTCCCTGGGCCTGTGCATTCATGTGCCCACTGCTTATTAAACCCCTACACAGACCTGCCCTCTCACCACCTGAATCAGACCCAGTAAAGTAAGTTTATCTTCCTCCTAGGCACGATCAAACCTTCATTCCTCTTGCCCATGTATGTGTTTAATGAACAATCTGATAAAAGCAATCTAATAAAATGAATTTGTCTAAAATAAACAGCTTATTGTAGAAATTTTATAGGAAAAGATATGCTTAATTCAATGGCAATTACTGTTAGCATTTTGGTATCTGATTTAAATATTTTAAAGCAGCACTTTCTTTCTATGCCTTTTTAAAAATAGAAAATGTCAGAATAAAGAACTCAAGTGAGTATCAACTTAATTGAACTCAAATGAGTATCATGGTGGCATTTCAGGCTGTCCTACATAATAAAAGGCTAATATGCAAATAGACCAAATAGCAGAACAACCAATCACTATGACGTGTGCCGACAACCAGGGGGCGCTCCCGGAACATGGTGGGCATCGGCAGCAGAGTGCAGAACATAGCGGGCATTGGCAACGACGGGATCGTGGAGCAGGTGAGTGGGGGTGCCAAACCCAGGTGGGGCACTTGTCGCTGTCATTGGGGTGAGCCTCTGGTGGTTACTGAAAATTCTTTGCTCCTGCACACCGTGATCCCTCCTGGCACTTGTACCTGCTGTCGGCGCCGACCTTGCTCCCACCTGCTGCTGGTACCTGAGCCGACGCTCACACCCGCTGCCAGCACCCGGCGCCGGCCCTGATCAGTCAGTGCCGTCAGTGGGTGCAAGTGGCACCTGCCAGCCCTGATCGCCCCTCAGGGCTTCTCCACTTCTCCCTGCTCCTGAGGGGCGATTTGGGCCGGCAGCTGCCTCTCGCACTCACTGCTGGCGATGGCCCTGCTTGCACCTGCTGATGGCACTGGAGCCGCCGCTTGCACCCACTGCTGGTGCCAGCCCTGCTCACACCTGCAGCTGGCACCTGGCGCTGTCAGTGGGTGCGAGCAGCGGCTGCCAGCCCGATAGCCCGAGGGCTTCTCCACCTCCTGCTGCTTCCTAGGGGCGATTGGGGCAGCAGCAGCCACTCGTACCCAATGACTGTGCCAACTCCACTTGCACCCACTGCTGGCGCCAGCCCCAACCACTTTGTGCGGTCAGTGGGTGCGAGTGGGGCTGGTGCTGTCAGCACGTGGGAGGGGCTGCCGGTAGACAGGGGACCAGGGCTGCAGCAGGAGGGGCTGGGCGGGGTTGTGGAGGATGGGCCGAGACCTGCCCCTGTGCCCACCGCAGCTTTGCGGCCTACAGTTTGTTTCAAGGTTCACGAATTTGTGCAGTGGGCCCCTAGTGTGACATAATAAAGATTCAGTGGCAGCCAGGGAACTGCTCCACTTTGTTCCATTTGATAAATATGTATTTTTTTGGGGGAAAGGAGGATGCTATTATAGGATCCCTTAAAACAGCCCTGAATTGTTTTTTGCCTTTTAAAGAAGTTTTTATTGATTTTTTTAGAGATCAGTAGTTGGTCACCCTCTCCCAGAATCAGAATCAGAATCCCAGAAAAATCTTGGCAAATCACTTGAATGATGGCCAATTCCTGCAGTTAAACACACATACAAGCACCATTTGAAGTCCAAAGAGCTTTTGGTTCATTAATCATTTTGTGTTCCAATCCACTGTTCTATCCAAAACATTTGGCAGAAGAGCAGCAAAGAGCATAATATAATCTTCCTCATCAATTTAATGAAGTGAGGAGAATGTTTACCATCCTGCCCATTCCAACCCAACTCTCTTGTTCTGGTTTTTGGAAGGATGTAAATCAGGCACTTTTCATTATGTCTTCAACATAAGAGAATGCCTATGCACAGGATAAATAAGTCACATTTTTATCTAGGTAATAATAATCATGGACTCAGATAGGAGTAATAATACTACTTCATAGTTAGAAAGGAAAGCTATGTAGAGTTTAAGTACTTCCTCCAAGTAATCAGAATTAGAAATAAATTCTAGCAATTTATGTACATAATTCTGCTAATTTCCTTGGGCAACCTGTTTAATTTTGGTTTTTTTAAAATATATTTTTATTGATTTTTTACAGAGAAGAAAGGAGAGAGAAAGAGAGTTAGAAACATCGATGAGAGGGAAACATCGATCAGCTGCCTCCTGCACACCTCCCACTGGAAATGTGCCTGCAACCCAGGTACATGCCCTTGACCGGAATCGAACCTGGGACCCTTCAGTCCGCAGGCCGACGCTCTATCCACTGAGCCAAACCGGTTTTGGCTAATTTTGGGTTTTAATCAAGAGGAACAGGGCACTGTGTTTCATAAAGAAAATAGGCTTTGAATATCCTACAAAATTTCTCCAAAAAATGAGTGATTCTATAGTACTGTTGAAACTACTTTTGCTATGGAAGAATTTCATCATTCTAAGATCGCAAAGTTTATATCGTCTTTTATATGCTAGTAGGGCACAGTAAAAAGAATAAAGGTTTTTAAGCCAGCAGAGCTGGGATGAAGTCTTGTTTCTGTAATTTTACTTATGGCCATACATTGAATTTCTTTTGTCTCCTTTAATTTATAAAAAAGATATACTCCTCTCTACTTTATAAGGCTCTTATAAGAATTAAGTGTAATGATTTATATGAAAGCAGATATTGCTAGTTTTTATTATAATAGTTGTTTTGCTGTTGTTGTTTTTTTTAAAGAACTATACTGAGGTTTTCTCTGATCAGAACAGATGAGGCCAAATGACTAAAATGAGCCTCTTCCTGGGCTGGGCAGGGCAGGCGGCCCTAAGGTGCAGACTGGTCCAATCTCAGGAAGGAAGAGAGCCTGACGGGCGCGCCCGCGCGCAGGATCTTAGGAGCTCTGTCAAGTTCAAGTCGGCTGTGGCGTGAGACCAAAGCTTAGTACTCCACTTTAAAACAGGCACTTAAAATGAAGTATTATTTTCATTTCAACAGTTCTTAAAGTCTTGAAAATCCAAGTAAATTAACCAGAATAAGAAATAAAAGACGTGGCTGATAAAGCAAAATGAGACAAAAAGACGAACTCAACCACCCCAAAACAGGTAGCACAGGGTTGGGCAGATCATGTAAATAAAAATGATTAAGCTTGGTAAGCAGTAGAAAAGTGGCGATGTTGTACTGAAAGAAAAAGGAACACACAGCAATGCCAACCTCAGAGACAACACAGACGTGAAGAACTCCGAGGCAGGCAGGCAGAAAGAGATGCTAAAAATGATCAAACCGGCCACAAAGCACAATATACAGTATTAACAAAAGAAATCCTTTAATGAACGCAAAGTGACACTTGACTCTTGTGGGAGCATTTAGCTGGTAGAAAGTGAAGTCATTTCAAGGGATTTCTGGAAGGTTGTTTCCATTGCTGGCAAAGGCACATAATTCAATAGATTCTGGGTGTGGGCATATTTTCAAAAAGAGCCTACAATAGGCGGCATTTAAAATTCCGCCTCCCAGACAACCAGCCGGTAACGTGTAGAGGACCCCACGCCAGTCAAGTCCAGAAACGTCCTCGAGAGTGGGCCGCGGACGCCGCACAGCAAACTTTCTCTGGCGGCGGACGGTCCGCGGGAACAAAGCGCCCATCTCCCTGGGGGCGAGAGAGCCGCGCGGGCCGGACCCCGGCGAGGGCTCCCCCTCCCCCGGCTCGGGCGCCTCCCCACTCCCCCTTGCCTCTCCTCCCAGGC